ATAATAACATGTATCCACCATTGTAGTATTATACAGAAGCATTTCACTGCTTGAAAAATCCCCTATTCTCCATCTTTTCTTTATCTTTTCTCTCACAAACCCTGCCAGTCACTGTCTCTTTTCATTTCTATAGTTTTGACATTTTCGAGGGCTGAGAGTTGGAAGTATGCAGTATATAACATGTTTAGCCTGATAGTATGCATTTAAGCTTCTTTTATATCTTCTTATGGCTTGATAACTCATTTTATCACTTAATAACTTTGCATTTTATGGATGTACCACAGTGTTTATTCTGTCACCAAAGAAGAGCATATTAGTTGCTTCAAATTTGGGAGTGATTATGAATAAAGCTGCTATAAACATTCATTTTTAGGGTTTTTTAAAAAATATTTTTTGAGTTGTAGACAGGTACAATGCCTTTATTTTATTCGTGCTGGAGATTGAACCCAGTGCCTCACACATGCTAGGCAGGCACTCTACCACTGAGCCACAACTCCACCTCTCATTTTCAGGTTTTTATGCACATAGGTTTTCAACTCATTTGAGTAAATACCTGGGAGTGCAATTGTTAGGTCATAATGCTTTATTTTCTTTGATTAGTTTTCTGTTTAGATTTTTTGCCTACTTTTTAATTTGGTTGGTTGTATTTTTATTACTAAGTTTATTTTTTGTATAGTTTAAATACAAGTCCTTTATCAAATACGGGCTTTGAAAATTTTTCTACCATTTTATCACTTGTATTTCCATTTTCTTAATAGTGTCTTTACAGAGCACAAGTTTCTAATTTAAATAAAGAGTACTTTTATTCTTTTCCCCATGGGTTGTGCTTTGGTATTATTTCTAATATCTCATTTCCAAAACCATGATTATCTAAGATTTTTTTCCCATGTTGTATTCTAGGGTTAGAATTTTGTGTTTTACATGTAGGTCTGTGATCCATTTTGAGTTAATTCTTGTGAAAAGTGAAAATCAGTGGATTCATTTACTTACTTGTTTGTTGCACATGGATGTCCAGTTGTTCCAGCAATATTTCCTGAAAAGACTACACTTTTCTATTGGATTTCCTTTGCTTTTTTTTTTTTGTCAAAAGTCATTTGATTATATTTGTGTGGATGTATTTCTGTGCTTTGTATTCTATTTCTTTGAACTATTTCTCAATCCTTTCACATTTATAACACTGTCTTTTCTTTTACTGTAGCTTTATATTATATCTTGAAGGTGAGTAGTGCCAATCTTTTAACTTTGTTCTTCAATATTTTGTGGCTATTCTGAGTCTTTTTTTTGCCCTTCTATATAAATTTTAGAGTTTGATTGACAATATCCACAAAGTAAACTGCTGAAGTTTGTTGTTGTTGTTTGTTTTTGTGATGCTGGGAACCAACCCAGTGCCTCACTCATGCCAGGCAAGTGCCCTGAGTTACAACCCCAGCCTTCTGCTGGAGTTTGAATGTGATTGCCAAGATGAAGTTTGGAATTTTTATCTTTATAATATTGAGTCTTTCTTCCTGTGAACATGGAATCTCTCTCCATTTATTTAGATTTTCTTTACTTTCATCAGTTTTGTAGTTTATTTTACATAGATCTTATATATTTTTTGTTAGATTTATTCCTAAACTTTTCATTTGGGGAGGGGTGCTAGTGTGAATAGTATTTTTTTTAAGAGAGAGAGAGAGAAAGAGAATTTTTTTTAATATTTATTTTTCAGTTTTCGGTCGACACAACATCTTTATTTTATTTTTATGTGGTGCTGAGGATCAAACCCAGCGCCCCGCGCATGCCAGGCGAGTGCATTACCACTTGGGCCACATCCCCTGCCCAATAGTATTGTTTTTAATTTCAAATGCCAGTTGTTCCTTTCTGGAAAGGATTTGTTTATAAGAAAAGCATTTGGCTTTGTGTATTAACTTTGTATATACACTACAACCTTTTAATAGTCAGGTATTAGTTTCAGAATTTTTTTTGTCAGTTGTTTGGAATCTTCTACATGGACAATCATGTCAACTACAAAGACTTTTCTTTCTTTCTTCCCACTATGAATACCATTTATTCCCTTTTCTTTTTATATTGTGTTATTTACAACTTCCAGTATGATGTTGGATAGAAATGGTGAGAGGTGACATTCTTTCATTGTTTTCAATTTCATGGGGTAAAGCACCTTGTTTCTTGCCATTAAATATGAAGTTAGCTTTATACTATTTCTACTCTTTTTAGTTTGTTAAGGCATATTTTATAGCCCAGAATGTGGTCTGTCTTGGTGAATATCTTACGTGAGCTTGAAAAGAATGTGTATTTGGTAGTTGTTAGATGAAGTATTCTATAAATGTCAGATCCATTTAATTGTTGGTACTTTTTGATTCAATTTTGTCTTTATTAACTGTTTGCTGGATCTGTTAATTTATTTAGAGGGGTGCTGAGGTCTGCAGCTATAATAAAGGATTTGTCTATTTGTTTTGCATTTCTATCGGTTTTTGCCTCCCATCCTCTTTGGTAATGCTGAGGATTGAACCCAGGGCCTTGAGTGTGCTAAGCAGACACTCTAACACTAAGCTATATCCCCAGCCATATCTCACATGTTTTTGATACACTGGTGTTAGTCATGTACATAATAGGATCGTTATGTCTCCTTGGAGAATTAACCATTTTACTATAATGTAATCCTTCTTTTTATCTCTGGAAATTTTCCTTGTTCTGAAGTCTGCATGAATATAGCTGTTCTAGCTTTTGTTTGATTAGTGTTAACATAGTATATCTTTTTCATCTCTTTATTTTTGAACTTTTTGTGTCTTTATGTTTAAAGTGATATTTTTTAGAGAAATATAGTTGGCTTATCATAAGGGTTATAGAAGAAATTATAGGATATCTTCATAATCCTTGGGTAAGGAAAGATTTTTTTTAGACAAAAAGTTTCAAAAAATTGATAAATGGAACTTCAAAATTAAAAATTTCTCATCAAAACACATTACATTATATACTGTATAAAATTATCACACTGTATCCCACAAATATGTAAAATTATGTATCAGAATAATTTAAAAAAGACTTTTTTTTTGTACCAGGGATTGGACACAGGAGTGTTTGCTACTAAGCCACATTCCCAGCCCTTTTAAAATTTTATTTAGAGATAGGATTTCACTGACTTGCATAGGTAAGTTGCTGAGGCTGGCTTTGAACTCGGGATCTTCCTGTCTCAGCCTCCTAAGCTGCTGAGATTATGGGCACACACCACTGCACCCAGCTAAAAAGAGACATCTTTCAGAAAATTAATAAATAAGTCACAGACAGGGGAAAACATTTTTTTCCCTACTAGGGGTTGAACACAGGGGCACTCACCAAATGAGTCATTTCTCCAGCCCCTTCTGCCCCATCCCCCCGTTTTTAATTTAGAGACAGGGTCTTACTCGATTGCTTAGGGCCTTGCTGAATTGCTGAGGCTAGTTTTTTTTTTTTTATTGGTTGTTCAAAACATTACAAAGCTCATGACATATCATCTTTCATACATTTGATTCAAGTGAGTTATGAACTCCCATTTTTACCCCAAATACAAATTGCAGAATCACATCAGTTACACATTCACAATTTTTACATAATGCCATATTAGTGACTGTTGTATTCTGCTGCCTTTCCTATCCCCTACTATCCCCCCTCCCCTCCCCTCCCATCTTCCCTCTCTACCTCATCTGTTGTTGTGCTGAGGCTAGTTTTAAACTCACTCTCCTCCTGCCTCAGCCTCCCAAACCACTAGGATTATAGGTGTGTGCCGCTGTGCCCGGCACAAGGAGAAAACATTTATAGTGTTTACATAATATGTAAAGAACTCCTATGAATTTCTAATAAAAAGATAAAAAAGATTTAAAAAAGGAACTTCTAGTTTCTTGTCTGGAAACTACTATGTGAATAGTTTGGATGCCATTGCTCCCATCCTCAATAATAATAAAAAAAGAAAAAGCAGAAAGTGAAATTAATTGAAACTCAGCAAGTTTCCTTAATCTACCAAAGAACTGAGTTCACAGGCAAACTGATTCCCCCCAAAACTGGAGAGACCGGCAAAGATAGAATACTGCAATACTGGGAGCCTAGTAGCAACACTTAAAAGGTGATTAAGCGTGTATTAGTTGAATGGTGTGTGTGTGGGGGTCCCATCTTAGAAAGGTTCCCACAATATTAAACTTTCTGGAGCCATATACTAGATTCTCAAGGTGAAGACTGGAGAAAAACTTCAGAAGGAGGAAGAAAAAAAAGTAATCAGTTTGAAATAGAGTACCCTGTTCTCTTTAACAAAATACTTTGGCAGAATTTTGATATTAATTCCATTATCTTAGTATGTGTTGAATCAGCAAGACCTCTGATTTCTTCTTGAGTTAGTTTGTACATTTTGTGTTTTAAAAAGACTTGTAAGTTTTTAAATTTACTGGTATAGAGTTATTAATAATTAACAGTGTTCTCTAGCCATCCTTTTAATGTCTGTAGAATCTATTCTAGTATTCCTTTAATTAGAATTAAATCTATTACTTTTTGATGGTAATGGTATGAATTGATATTATGGTGGGAGAGACTCTAAATTATATATCAAGTAACTATTATAATTCAGAAATATTATACTTTTCCATTTTTTCCCATTGTAAAATTAAAAACTCTTATAGTTCAATAATAAAAACACAAAATAATAAAAAGACAAAAGGGATAGTAATATTATACTTATTTATTTAAAACACCGTGAGGACTATGATGATGCTCTTTATGATATATATTTAGATAAAATTAAATAGTGAAGTTCGTATTAGTGTGATGGTTTCAATCTGTAAATTGTATATGGTATATAATGTGTGCTTTGTGAATAGAAATAAATGGGAATTTTTCTTATTTTAACTAGTAACTCCCGCTGCCCCATTTGTTTTTGCAGTTCTGGGTATCAAACCTAAGGCTTCTTGCTAGTTATTTAGACTTTAAAAATTAATGTGATAAAACTTTATTTATAGAGTTTTATTTTTAACTTCTCACAGGTATTACTCTGCCCTAAAAACTATGGAACAATTAGAGAACGTGTACTTTCCCCGGGTTAATCAATACCGGTTTTGTCAGCTAATGATAGAAAATCTTCCTACACTCCGTGAGGATATTAAAGAAATTTCCATGTCTGATCTCAAAGACTTTTTGGAAAGCATTCGAAAACATTCTGACAAAATAGGTGAAACAGCAATGAAACAGGTGAGATTAAAAATAATTTTAATTTAATATTTAATAATCTAGGATATAAAATATATTCCAAGGTTTACTTCTTTAACTTACTTGAAATGGTTTTGTTTGTTTGTTTAGTTTTACCATTTTCTTATCCTTCCTGGTTCTTGTTTAGAATAGATTTTGTAAGTGTTTTCTTTGGATTTATAGCTATTCTATACTTAAATAAAGTCAGTCTTAACTTTAATTCTTCAGTCACTCTGCTGTAGAAGTGTACTTCAGAGAAGTCTAAAGACTTCAGAACTTTACCTGAATTCTCAGTAATCTTCTCCACTTGTGTGGTGTTACAATAACTTTTGCCATTGCCAAACCTGTTATAAAATTATCTTAAAACTGACAGCCACAGAGACAGGAAGTAGCCCTTTTATGCTAAAATTCTAAATTGTTCTCTTTTTTAAAACAAAGTTTTTGAATTAAAAACTCTTACAGTTCAATAATAAAAAGACAAACAATGGTATTTGTGTACTAGAACTGAAATGCATTCTGCTGTCATGTATAACAAATTAGAACAAATAAATAAATTTAAAAATACAAACAATAGAAAGTATTCAGCAGTTATGAAGTTATAGTTCTACCATTTGAATCTGTGGTTCCACTCCTGATTATTTATCAATTAGAAATGAAAACATGGCCTTATGATGTTCATATCAACTATTAGTCAAAAACTGGAAAAAACTCAAATTGCTTTCACAAGGAAAGCAGAATGGATACACTAATTATGGTGTAGTCACACAGTGGAATAGTACTTAGCAGTAAAAAGAAAGGAATTACTGATAATATAACACATAGGGATCTCTCAGATAGATATGTTGAACAACAGAAGTTGAGCACAAAAAGGCACTGTTTATATGCAGTTTTAAAGCAGGCAAACAAGATTAAAAAAAATCAATATAGTTGTAGGTAACTAGAAGCTTGAGTGGGAAGATTGCCTGGGAAAGGAAACAAGTGAAGACAAATATTCTATAACATGATGAAAGTGTACTGTCAAAATTGTACAGCTATGATGTGTGTATTTTAATGTACATAAATCGTACTCCAAAGAAAATTGTTTAAAAAAAGGGTATATATGGAATGAGTGGGTAAATGTATAGATGAAACAAGTATGTAAAAATTTATGGTGGATGAGTGTTGCACACCTTCATTCCAGTGACTTGGGAGGTTGAGGCAGGAGGATTGCAAGTTGTGAAGCCACCCTAGGCAATAGGGCAAGACCCTGTCTTAAAATAAATGAATAAATAAATAAGAATGTAAAAATATTACTTGGTTAGAGATTATTGGTGGGTACCTGAGAGTATGTTATATTATTTTATTTACTTTGCTTATATTTAGAATTTTCATTGTTGAAAAGTTTTAAAATGATTATGATTTAATTCAAATTTCTAAGAACTGTTAAAACTCATAATAATAATTACATCTTAAGAATAAAACAGTGCTCAACCTGATTTCTGATGCCTGAGTTTTTTTCCCCCCAAGTATCACAAACTACTTTTAGGGAGGTTTTATTTTATTTTTGTAATTTAAAAAGTTCATCTGTAACAGAACAGTGTTAAATCAGAGGAAATTAAAATTCCATATATGAATTGAATTCCCTATTTTAATCTTTTAAAGGATTATCTATAAATCAGATAATTTCTGTTTTACTTCTAATTTTCTCAGCATTGCATAGTAATATACTGTATTCTATTTTTTTCTCTTTCTATTGTGAAATTCACATAAAAAAATTAATTACTTTAAAGTAAAAGATTCAGCTAGTTGGTAAAGATTTTGTACAACCATCATTTCTGTCTAGTTTCAAAACATTTTTCATCACCTCAGAAGGAAACCCTGTGTCCATTAAGTGGTTAGTCATGTCCCATTCTTCCCTCCTTCCAGCCTTTGGCAACCACCAATCTGTGTTATGTCTCTGTGGATTTATCTATTCTGAATATTTTGTATAAATGGAACCATATAATGTATGATCTTTTGTGTCTGGCTCCTCCATGTTAATTTTCTTTATTAATAGATTGTTTACTTGTAGGATTATTGATTTTGGAAATTCTTTACCACAACCATTTTACTTTATAAAATTAGAACCATGTACAGTAACATAGGACTTATACAATAAAGTTTTCTGAAATAGCTTAGTTTTTTTCTCAGTTGTAGTTAATTCTTGCGTATGTGTAGATGAACTATGCAGACTCAATTTTCTAATGATTTTTGATAGTACCTTTCATTTAGCTTAACATTTAATACTTAGTTGACAAAAAAACTTTATTTGCTGTAAATAATAAATAGATAAATAAAGCCACAAAATAGAATTTAAGCCAAACTTACTACCTCTCTCTTCTATGGAAGCCAGGTTTGAGGTCATTTCCCCTACCAATGTGGTAATGAGAATGTGGTCTGTTGTGAGTGATAGTGTAGGAATAGAAATGGTAATTGTAGGTCAATGGGTTAGGGTTCCAACATCTGGTTAGTAACTTGAAAAAAGTAGAATCTAAGAAGATATGAGAAAATAAATTTCAAAGTCATAGTTGAGGAAAAGAATCCAGAGGTTCTGAATCTAGAAACTATGATTACCCACAGAACTCTTCCAAGGTTAGGAAAGCCCCATGTTTAGAGGGAAATTTATAGCCTTAAATTTACAAATTCGGAAAGAAAGGCTGAAGTCAATGATCTAGTAGTTCCATTTCAGGAACTTAGAGAAATAGAAAATTAAACTCGAAGAAAAAAAGAATAGAAATAAACTTTCCTACGGACAAGTATAAATATATTACAGTGAATCTCTACATCATGTACAGCCACAAGACTGGGATCCTAGTTAGAATAAAATGTACTCCATGTTTGTATAAATATGTCAAATTATACTCTCCTGTCATGTGTAACTAAAAAGAACAAATTAAAAAATAAACAATGTGGCCTCTTGGTAATGTTATAAATTAAATTTTCATGGTCAGATTACATAAAACAATATAGGAAATGAGATATCAATTATGTTATTTTTCTCAATTTGAAAATGTGAACATATTTTGATCAGTTTGGGGGGTAACAATGTGATCTGAATTTTCCTCATGGTTTAAGACATACATTAAAGGACATGGAAGTAAAAAAAAAATGAAAGAATATAAATAAGGATCAACATGATAGGAAATAAAATATAGTAAGTTGAATGGCAAAGCCAAAAGTTGGTTCTTCATCTTTTCAAATAAAGTTGATAAACTCCTACAAGATTGTTTGTAAAGGAAGAGAGGAGGCACATGTCATGAGTAAACAAGCAAACACTGCTACAGATACTATACCTGCATTAAAAATATAAGGAAGTATGGACAATATTTTGAACCAGTTTTACCATAATAAATTTTGAAATAATTTGAATTCTGCTTTCCTGAAAATAGGCACAACAGCAAAAAGCCTTCAGTATTGCTCTGCAGAAGCAAAATAATGTGAAATTTGGGAAGAATATGTATATAAATCATGATAGAATTATAGAAGAAAAGCGTGAAATTGTATTGAGACATATACTTGAGGAAGAGGATGAGAATGAAGAGGAGGTAATGGGGTTTCTTTATCTATTATTGGATAATTTTTTGGATCATAATGTATATCTGTGTGACTCTTAGTTTTCCCATGAATTCATGTTGACTCTTCATCTTTCCATTGATGTTGATCAGATTGCAGTAGGTTTGGAATCATCTGAAATTCTAAACTACATAACTGATAGACAAATAGGGCATATTATGTACTCAAAAACCATTGATAGTTGAGCCTGGGTGTTTTGCCATAATTAGCAGTAAAAATGTAAACCTAATGACTTTTTTATAGTAGTCTCACTTTTGAATTATCTTTGGCAAATTTTTTATTTCATAAGGTTTTGACCTTGCCATTTGCCCCAATTCTGGCTAGCTTATGCTTTTTTTTTTTTTCTAGTTGGTGCTGAAATACTGCAGAGTAATTCTATTTTTTATTACAGTCAAGTTTAAAATTTTTTTGAAGTCTTAAAAAGTCTACAAACCTTGAAATTATCTTTAAGTGTTTATTTTCTGTCACCATTGGTATCCAAATTTATTCTTTTATCTTATTGCATTTTTGATTCCCTCCACAAAGTTTTCTTTTGTGTCTTTTATCTTCTTTGAATTCTTTTGAATTTAGTTGAATTTCATTTATATCATAGGGAACCTAGTTACTCTTGGTTATTTATAAGTTTATCAATGAAATCTTAAATTCTTCTTCTAAGAATCTAATTGGGACACCATAAGAACTCTGAATTGTGTGAATATGTGCTCAAAGCTTCCTCTGTAGATGGGGAAATAACTGAGTGTTAATTATATACATTTGTGCTGTATGTCTGAGGATGAGACAAAACACTCCTCTCTGTGTGTATGTATCTGTGTATATATAACATATATTGGTGCACATATATATGCAGTGAATGTCTGTTATCACTCTGAATATAGGCAGCTAAACATTTTCTTGATGTAGAATTAGTGTGTCTTGCTTCATCCCTTGAAATTATATAAGTGATTTTAAAATATACACTTTTGTTCTTTTGTAATATTCAGAGGATCTCTATTTTCTGTTCTCTCTAGGAGTTCAAAGTAGTAAAAACAGACCATCTAGTTTTCTTATCTCTGCTTTCCCTGGTCTGTTTTGTGTATCTTTAGCTACTTAGAGTGTTACAGTCATGCCTTAACAAGCCCAGATCTACACTCTTAGTTACCGTGGTGGTTTGCCTGTTCTCTTGGGTCTCTTCTACTGTTAGTACAATTTGTTTCTATCATTTTCCCCTAATAAGTAACATTATAATAAAAATAATTTAGGAAATGTGTTCTTTAAAAAAGGGTTTCATTCTACTATATTTTATTAATTCCAAGCTGCAGTTTTTCATATTATAACATTCCAGAAGTTGGTATACATCTCAAAATTGCTGGTGTCATTGTTTCAAATTGCTGCATTATTTTTTTCTTTAGTGTCCCATAAAATAATAGCGATGGTGTCTTTAATTTGTAGGTATAATGGCAAACCATATGATTTAGCTGCTTAGCAGAAGGAACTTTTGTTTTATAGGTAAACCGTAAGTTCATGCATCATTTTACAAAAACAACAATGAAGCATGTAGGTATTTGTAGCAATTTTCTGGTACTCTATCAAGTACAATAAAAATAAACTTTATAATCTAAACTAGTCAACAATGGTAAAAATAGATGAAGAATAAACTACTGAAAAAATGCTATAGTAAAATAAAGCAGGTATTTGTTTATATTGTATGCTTTCTATGGGAGGATTAATTGAATATTATAAAACAAAATCCATGAGTTTTCTTGACTGTGTTATCCAATATCAGATTAATATTTTAAACTATGATTTTTTTAAAAACTGATTTTATTTTTCAGGTCTTAACTGTTCAGGACCTTGTTGATTTTTCCCCTGTTTACCGATGTTTACACATTTATTCTGTTTTGGTAAGAATATTTCATATTTATGTATGTATACATATTTATATTATTTAAAAGGCATATATGTAGTTTAAGCCTTAAAGAATGATCATAATCTTAGATACTATAAATCTTAATACAGTAAAAATTTGTGAAATATCCAGTGTATATGCACTTCTTTTTTTAACTTACAATGATCAAATTTCAAGTAACATATTTATGTATATCATAGGAACCTTACAGTTGTGTACAGTCATGTACATATAACAATGTTTTGAATTATGATGGACTTCAAGTATGACAATGGCCCTGTAAGATTATAGGGAGCTGAGAAATTCCCCTTGGCTATTGATAGCTGTAGTCATTGTAATATCTTAGCATAGTCATTTCTTATGTGTTTGTGGTCATGCTAATATAAACAAACCTACTGTGCTGCCAGTCATTTAAAAGTAGAGCACACAAATTTATTTATAGTATTTAATACTTTATAATAATAGTAAAAACTATATTACTGATTTATGTATTTACTTAGCATTTATTGTTATTTTAGAGTGTAGTCTTACTTAAAAAAACACAAAAGAAGGTTAACTATAAAACAGCCTCATCCTTCAGCAGGTATTTCAGAAGAAGGCGTTGTTATCAAAGGAAATGACAGTTCCTTTTGTTGCTGCTTTCCAGTAAAATAAGATGTAGCTAAGGAAGATAGTGATATTGATGATTCTGACCTTGTGTAGGCCTAGGCTAATGTGTAGTGTTTATGTTTTGGTCTTGGTCTTTAACAAAAAAGTTTTAAAAGTAAAATTAAAAATTAAAAAACAGGGCTGGGGTTGTTGCTTGGTGGTAGAGTGCTTATCTTGAATGTGTGAAGCACTGGGTTTCATCCTCAGCAATAAATTAAAAAAAAATAAAGATATTGTGTCCATCTATAGCTAAATTTTTTAATTAAAATAAAAAATAAAGATATTGTGTCCATCTACAACTAAATTTTTTTTTAAATTAAAAAACAATTGAATAGGCTATCCCATATATCCTAGGTGTATTGCATGCTGTATCATCTAGTTTTTTTGTAAGAACATTTTATGATGTTTACACAACAACGAACACAATGCAATTCTCAGAACAGATCTCTGTCATTAAGTGACACATGACTGTACTTCCATTTTTCCCCTTGTTTTTGTGGTAATGTTGCATCACATTTAATTATAATTATGTTATTTCTACATGTGTTTTATTATAAAGTATGTTATTCTTATTTTTGGTTAACCAATCCCTTATCCTTTTTAAAAAAACTGCTTTATTAAAATATAATTCACATACCAAAAATTCATCCTTTTAAGGTATGTAGTTCAGTGATTTTAGCATATTCACAAGTACATGCAACTGTTTGTACTAATTCCAAAAACAACATTTTATTACCTAAAAAAGAAACCCCTTGCATTAGCAGTCACTCCTCATTCTCTGCCTTCTTCCCCCAGTCCATGGCAACCACAAATTTACTCTCTGTTTCTATTTGCTTGTTCTAGTTATTTCATTTAAGTAGAATCATATTATATGTGGCTTTTAGCTTCTGGCTTCTTTTATGTAGGTGAAAGATTTTTGAGATTTTTAAAAAAATATTTATGTTTACAGCTATGATTTCTCTGTAAGTGCTGGTTTAGCTTTATCTCATAAGTTTTGATATGTTGTGTTTTTGTTTCCAGTTATCTCAGAAGTATTTTCTAGTTACACTTTGTAATTGTTTTCTTTAACCCACTGATTATTTGGGGGGGAGGGGAGTATTTGTTTAGTTTCTATATGTTTTTGAGTTTCCAAATGTTTTTCAGTTAGTGTTTTCAAATTTAATCTAATTTGTGGTCAAAGATTATAATTATATTTTATGTTTTCGGCCCTTTCAAATTTATTGAGTCTTGCTTTATGGCCTAACATGTTTCTGTGTTAAGAAGAGTGTATCTCTGAGTGTAGCTGGGTGATATATTCTATAGATATCTGTTTTGATATAGTGATTTTTAGAGTCATTTATATTTAATATCTAATATATTCCTGTTGGTTATCTTCCTATTCTGTTATTGAAAGTGAGAGTATTGAAGTCTCCCTCTGTGACCTTTGAATTGTCTATTTCTGTTTTCAGTTCTGCCAATTTTTGCTTTATATGTTTTTGAGATTTTGTTGGTAAATATATGTTTATAATTGTTGTGTCTTCCTTATAGATTGACCTTTTCTTTCCCTTCCTTTCCTTTCTTTTATTTTCTCCTTCCTTCCTGTAGTGGAAATTGAACCTAGGGTGCCCTACCACTAAGCTACATCTTTAGCCCTTTTTATTTTTTATTTTGACACAGGGTCTTGCTAAGTTGTCAAAGTTGGCCTTGAACTTGTATCTGGGAATACAGGTCTGTGCCATTGTAGTTGGTTTACATGTGTTTTTAAAGGGCCCTCCTGAAAGACTAGAGCAGATCATATCATCACCACCACCAATACAAAAGAGTAACTCCACACAAAATTGGTATTTTACTTCAAGTAAAACAAAAATAGAACTGTGGTAATTCACAGGGGAAACTATATTACTGCTAGTTAATTTACGTCTTAAAAATCAAATGTTTGGAAAAAAATCAAACATTTGTTGTTTACAATAGTTTCCCCAGTTTATAATCATTGCTTTTTAATTTTGTTTGTAGATCTATAAATTTTTAGAAGGTTAAATTTGTTCATCTTCTTCCATACTTCTTTTCCCTGTTTTTATTTGGTTAGAATAGCTAATAGTAATTTATATGTTCTTCAAGTCTCCATTTAAATCCACCCAATTCTTTTTGGAATACAGTCAGTTAAAAATAAAATTCTCATTAGCTTCCTGAGTTGTTGGGATTGCATATCCTGATTCTGATCCACTTTTCATCTTAAATGTCCCTTTTTTTGGTAATATTTTTTGGTTTGAAATCTATTTTAGCTGATAAAAGTCTATCTTTTGGGTGCTGTTAACATAGTGCAGTTTTCCCATCCTTCTACTTTTAAGATCTTTGGGTCTTTGAATATAAATTGTATCTTATACAGATAATACATGGTTTAATTTGTTTTTTCTAAATCTAATCTGCTAATCTCTGTCTTTCACTGGCCTGTTTAGTTCATATACATTTAATGTAATTACTGATATGGTAGGACTTGAGTCTGCTGTTTGCCATTTGTTTAAACATGTCATATGTCTTTTTGTCCTCTATGTTAAAAGCATTTAAAAAATGTTATAAAAGGGTTACATTAAAATGTATGAAATAGATCTGTTTACTGTAGGTCCATTTTAGCCCCATGTTCAAAAATTTTAAGAGAGCATTTCCTTCTTTATTTAATCAACTATAAGTGTTTCATGAAAGCAAATAGGTATACTATTAAAAAGCAGGGCTCTCTTTGGAAAATGGTGCAAACAACATCTATATTATAGCTTATCACACTCATCCTAAGAGCGTGCATGGTGAATTTTCTTAGGTGACCATGTTTTAAACTTTTGGTGAGTTAAGGGACTATTTTGTTAGAAATCTGAATGAATTAATTTTTGGAATGTATTAGACAAATACAAAATCTTATGTGAGAATTGCTATCTTAGGCATTTTAAAAGTATATGAATGCTTTTCAAGGAGTCCTGGGCTAAAAATTAAAAAAAAAAAAGTATGAATTCTCATCTTTTTCCTAAAAATGACCTTTCTTGGACACAGCCTGTTTGCATAATAGTTCTTCTCTTAATGTTGATGCTCTGCCTAAATCCCTTTGAAGCCCTTTCTTAGGAGCTAGAAGTGCCTTGGAGTCTATTACCACTACGATCCATACCATGTGACCAGGATTAAAATTAGTCAGTCACTGTATGAGGGTATGGCAGTTTAGAAACCTAGATTCTTTGCTTCGATTAGGACAACTCTAGAGTTACAACTTATACTCTAACTTTATATTGTGGAATCAAGCTGAAGCCAAATTTCTTGGCAATTCTTTACCTAAGGTGGGATCCTGGATTGGCTTCCTGTTGTTCTTTTGCTTACTTTCTTCATTTTTTGAGCAGTTTCCTTTTTGAGCATTTCTTTAGTATATTATTGATCTTAGTTCTGTTCCTAGGAAAGCTACCTAAGATACTGTTGTATTCATTATCTATTTGCTGCATAAAATACTTGTTTAACATAATAAATATTTACTGCTTCACAGGGTCAACTGTCTGGGTGTGGCTTACCTGCTGGTTCTGCCTAAAGTCTCTCATGAGTTCTAGTTAAGAAGTCAGTGAGGGCTACAGTCATCCAAAGGCTTGAAAGGGGCTGGAGGATTTTTTTCTTCAATGGATTGATGGCAGAAGGCTCTTTACAAGGCCGCCTTTACAGTCCTCATGACATGGCAGCTGACTTCCGCTGGAGTGATACAAGAGAGAAATCAAGATAGATGGAAGCCATAAGATTTTTTATAACTTAGTATCCAAAGTGGCATAAAGCAAACATAATAGCTTTATCCAAACATAAAGCTATTATGTTTGCTTTATCCTATTGGTCACATAGACCAACTGTGATATAAGGTAGAGGGGAACTACACAGAATATGAATACCATGAGGTATTCTTTGGAAGCTATCTTATAGACAACCCCACTGTTTATCTAAGAAAGTTGTGTCCTTCACTAATATTCAAGACTACCACAATGCATTGTCTTGATCTGTAAAACGCTTCCAGAATGTCACAGAAAAAAGAAGAAACTATATACACATAAGGGTGCCTTTCTTTCCTGTCTTACACAGTTTCCTGTTAAGGGTAAATTATATTAGAAACAATATATTTTGTCCTATGGTGGGGTGTTCTTAGTTCACATACATAGTAGGGAATAATGACATACTTGCCAGTAATATTAATTTACTCTTTTTTTTTTTTTTGGTACTGGGGATTGAACCCAGGGGCATTTAACCACTGAGCCCATCCCCAACTCTTTTTTATTGTGAGACAGGGTTTTGCTGAATTGTTTAGGGTCTTACTAAGTTGCCAAGGCTTATCTCGAACTTGAGATCCTCTTATCTCAG